TGGCGCCCAAGCATTAACCATTCATCAGCCGTGCCCTGAGTGGTTCTCACCGCGGACACGGAAGCACAGAGAGTAAGCGGAGAGTTCAAATCACACCTCGAAGCACCTTTACCTACATCTATTGACATTTTCTTGGAGGAATATTATATATTGCTTAAACTTAAAGCAATATACCATCTGCATGTGCACAGCAACACTTCATGCAACAGTGACCTACCACGGGAACTCATTGTATTTTTAGGTATAGTCTGTTTTGTCCAAGATGTACTTGGGTATATTCTCTCCAAAGTTTAAGAAAAATTTATACCAACTACCTAAAACACCTTTAATGTACTGAAAACTGCTTATTTTCAGTACATTAATCAAAGCAATGCTTTTGAGACCTCATGTGGCAATCTATTCTGCTGCAACACCCCAGAGCCAACGGAATAAGACCCCGTGAGAAAAGGTCATCTTTTTAAAGACAGATTCTCCTTTTTTTTGATAAATAAATTCCTACTCTTTGAATTCAGCAATGTGATTGTCATATACCTGCTCCGACAGCAACCCGATGGCAGTTCAAAAGGAGCACGGTCTCGGGAAGCGAAGATGCACTGGCAGAGGACTATGTTCACCCCAGTATTGTACTACTTCAAGATCAAACTCTGCCTTTGAAAACGTCAAAGGCAACTATTCCCGAGCAAACACCATATGGTGTATTTGTTCTCTCCAATTCCTCTTACAATCAATAGTAAAAAAAAGAACAGTTCGGACACGAAATGAGTGCATGCCACAGTGTTCTCACGGCAAGCTGTCCAACACGTTGGCATGAAATTGCTCAAATATGTGTTTGTTGGATTAAAAGGGACAGAAATGACCATTAGCAGTCCAGTCTGCAATAGCTCTGCCTGTAATATTCAGTGACGCTGTGCTGGGGTTTCACTTTGGGGTCTGGCTGTGGTGCGCACAGGAAACACTTCCGAGGATGTCCCTGAAACCATATTTAGAAGTAAGCTGCTTTTTTCATGGTTGTCACGGTAAAGCTCCGAGGACCTGGTTAATGCAGCTCTGTGATGGTGAAACCGCTGCTGGATCCCAACAGGATTACAAATAAACTACCGTAAAACTAAGTCACGTTTTGTGACTGGGGAGTAACAATCACCAGGCCAGCACCTGAACCATCGGAGTCACTGTTCTGACATTTAAAGGTGTTTTTTAAGAGCAGCCAAGTGGCACCCTTGTCTCCCGGATGGATTCCCAATCCCCAGCCTGTGGCCGGTGGGTGGATGTAGTGGAAGGACAGACCCTTACATGGAGACCACCACGAGCAGCTCCCACCGGCTCAGGGATGCTGTTCCCTCTGTTCCTCTCCAAATAAAACCATGTAAAAGGTTGGCCACAATGGTGGGACCCAGGAGGGCACTTACACACCTGGTCGTTGGCTTAAGCATCATCCTCTAACCCTCAGCTCAGAGACATCTGCAGTCCCTCTGCTTCTGCCAGCCAAGTCCCCTGCGTTGTCACTGCGGTGCCTCTCTCTGTCACCCAGCTGGACCCCATCGCTCAGAGATCATGAGCAGCCTCCGTCCTTCCTCCCTCCGCTCAGCACGCTTCTAAATCCAGAGCATCCACCCACCCCGGTGCCACGTGGCTGCAGTGGCCCATCACTCCATCTGTGTTATTAACGATGATAACGATAATGATAGCAATGCTCCTTTTTTCCTCTTTTGCAAATAAGTAACATCTGCAGATTTACTGAAAGGCCTGATGGTTAACCATGCGCCGAAATGATTCTTCAAACAACTGCAAGAGGCAGCAGTTTGCAGAAGTCAGCGTGTTGGCCACGAGGTCCACATTCCCTCCCCATGACCCTGCGCACTCAGACCCTGGCACCAACCAGATCACAGCTCGGTGAAGAGCCACTCAACACCAAATGACCCCAAATCTGCAAATATTCATGCGATGCATGTGCTAACTCAGGTGTTCATGACCATGTGCAGAAGCAGCCCAGATGCAGGTGCTGGAACAAACATTTCAAACCTCACAACAAGCAAAATAATTACACGCTGCCAAGCAAGGAAGGCTCCGGCCTTAAGTTTTATTGTTGCAGATGGGAAATAAATCTGGCTTGTGATCAGCTGAGCACACTCAGGTAACAAATTAAAGCCACCCCTCTCGTTCCCTCCCCTTTCCCAGCACGTGACACCGAGGTTTTGGAAACAACATTAAATAACAGCTCACGAACCCAGATGGAAAATCCGGAGCAGTGGCAATAAGCCCCGTTGGCTTCTTGCAGAGTTAATATCAGACTTGAACTGTGGGGCCCCCAAGCTCCCACTCTCCTTAGAGGAAGTCACCCCAAAGCAAAACTATTACTCTCATGGCCATAATCAACAGTCCCATTCGCCTCCGGTGAAGACGTTCGGGCTGACGTAACAACCCAAGGGAAATGGCTTCTGGTTTCGGAGGACGTGGCAAGTGATGTCCGCGGAGGAAAACGCTGGCATGGCTGGATCGCTGCCGATTTCACGTGTCAGCGCCTCGTCGTGTTTAACCCAAAGGTAGCAAATGGTTTCTGCACCCGCCAGAAGAGAGTTTTAAAAGTCAGCTCTCGACGTTGGTGATCTTGTCCTTGAGGTTTAAAGTCCACCCCAAACACCTCCTTTCCAGCTGACCCCTCCGGCTGCGGCATCTGTGCCTCTCCCAGCAGAGGCCGGGCGTCACCTGCTCCTCCCAGGGTGGCACTGACAGGGCATGGCTGCTGCCGCCTCCTCCTCTCTGGGCACACGCTCACTCCAACGTCGGCAATCCCATTCCCAGCTTTTCCTGGCTGCTGCTGGGTGCACAACGAAGCTGAGCGGGATGGCAGGCAAGTGGTGGGCTGCCAGGGCTGGATTTGGATCCGCTCCACTGCAGGGATGGACACTCCTTTGGTGTGGGTCTCCCACCACAAGTAAAAGTGCTGAGCATTAGTTGAGGTATATCAATGATCTGCAACACTGGAAACCAACCCTCTGTTCCTCCCTTGCATCCCCTTTCTCTGTGGGGGAGGTCCAAACACTCAAAGGGAAGACTGGAGCCTAATGGCTTTACCTTCCAGATGCTTTCTCCAATGGCTTTGCCTTGCAGATGCCTCCTCCACCCCTGCCCCAGGACTTCCACCCCATCCCATCCACGCAGCCGGCAGCCTTCACATCTACACCACTGATCAGCTGGAGTAACGGCATTTCCATCAGCCTACGGAGTGATCTTCCCGGTAAGAACAAGGTGTTGGGCTTGTCAGTGCCTTGGCACCAGCTCTCCTACAGCTAAGCCGGTACCTGATCCCACCAAGCACAGAAACCAGGGTTAATACAGTAAGTGCTGCTGCTGTTAGTTGTCATCCGAGTCTCACGGGGTTTTCTTCACATCTCAGTACGTTTAGTAGATTCCTTGTTAAAAGGGTAGGAATAATTCGTATAGGAACAACAGTTAAATACGAACCTTGGAGTTACTAAGTACAGTAGTCTCTCACAAACGAAAGCAGTGACGCCGTGCTGGAGAGCACAGCGGCACGATGGCAAGGAGAGTGGAGATTGGCTTTTATGACACTATTTACAGGTTTCATGTTTTAAAAACTGCCGAGTTTGATTAAATATAAGTATAGAACATTTCTTCCATACACAAACTCTTGTTAGCTGATTAATTATTAAGGTGCTCAGAAGTGTAGATGAAAACAGAAGTTACAGTAGATCAGTTGTGTCTGTGTCTATTTACAAACCGCGCTCGGTTGTCTACTGACACCAGCATCTTCCAAAGCAGCTGGAAGCAAAGTGGCCAGTTGCAATCTGGGGGGAAGGCAGTGGGACAGGTTGCCCAGAGAAGCTGTGGATGCCCCATCCCTGGAAGTGTCCAAGGCCAGGCTGGATGAGGCTTGGAGCAACCTGGTCTAGTGGAAGGTGTCCCTGCCCATGGCAGGGGGGTTGGAACTGGATGGGCTTTAAGGTCCCTTCCAACCCAAACCATTCAGTGATTCATTCTATGATTCTATGATCTAATGCCACAAGAACTGAGGTTTTGTTCACATCTTTGTCAGAAGGTAAAATTGTACTTTTATTCCTTCTTGTATCCACAAAGGTGGGTGTCCTTGCTGAATCTGTGGTGCCAGGCAGCATCGCACCGTCAGACACCCTGTTTCTAGCTCTCAACTCCTGTCCAGCCCTTACCACCACAATTTGCTGCTGGGCAGCTGCCCGAGACGGGAGTCGCAGCACCAGGTGGTTACACTGAAATGCGTTGTACGGGGCCTCCTGAGCTCACTTCTACCCCGTACAACAGAAGGGAGAATTGTGTGCGAGAAACCAAACAAGGAGAACACGCTTAGCAAAAATTTTGTCTTCCAATCAGAAAAAATAAAATAAAATCCCAAGAGGCACACACTTTGTAGGTCAAATTCCTTCCCCACTAACTTTCCTGAAGAGTTATTTTCTGTCTGATGGCCAAACTCTATCTCTAGTTCCATTCTCTGCTGACTGACGGCCGACCACAGACACTGCCTGGCATCGCTTCTCTTCTGCACCGCCTGTACTCACGCTGGTGCCTCCGAGGAGCTCAAAGATCCGTGTTTTGGGTACCAGGAGGGTATCTGACCATAATGAAAATGCTGACTTTGTCCCCATCATTTTAAGATGCTATAGAAAAAGAAAGGAAAATAAGTTGATTTGACTTTTGTTTGAAAACTTATCATGTACTGTTATCTTTCCCCTGTACATTTAAGTTTCAAACAGGTCCCAGAGATTGCAAGGCAAGAGTGTTAAGGCAGTATAAGGAACTCAGTATTTCATTCACACCTCTTGATTCCCTTAGAGGTACTTCTAAGGCATCAAAAGGGGCATGCGGTTTGTGCTCGCCTTTTCAGAGAAAGGCATTCGGTGTAGTGTAAAAAATGGATGCTCAATGACAGACGGAAGCCTCTAATCCCCAGACAATGGCAGTACCCTCAGAGAGGAACAGGGAGATACAGTGGGGTTTCCTGGGGCTCCTCACCATCGCTCTTTCTGGAACACCTCTGTTTGTACAATCTCACCAGGGTGCTCAGCTATGCAGGCCCCGTTGATGTCACTGAGCTTGTTGTCTGGAAGATCCTCGGGTTTTGTGCAAAGTTTCAGCGCCCTGGAGATGAAGACATCCAAGTCAAACTCAGGGTCTGTTTCGCTGTTCACCTCCGTGGGTTCTTTGTGGAGATGGTGGGGAGAAGATGTCAGGCTCCTTTCCTGAATCTCTGGAAGAGGACTAGGACACTCGAGACCCACCTGCGTGCTCTTCACCCACTGAGCAATCTCCAGAAAGAGGTTGGATGGTTCTTCTTCCAGCGCTAGCTCAGCTGCGGGTGCTATGGTGGCTCTCTTCCAGTGGGATAAATCTAAGATCAGCTTGGGCTCTGAGTAATGATGGGGCTTATTGTCTCTCCACAACAATTTGTCCAAGTAGGAAGGTGACCCCACCTTGTAATCACACGATTTCCCGCAGTCAGCATCAAATACTCGGTCCATGGATGAGTGGGATAGCTCCAAGAACCTCTCCGAGCTGCTCTGTGAGTATTTCCGTGGATCAACTTGTGCTTCTTCAGCAATGGATTCAGACCCTGCCCGGGGGTCCCGCTGAACCTCATCCATGTCGTGGTACTTATCATGCCTCCATTCCAAATCAGAGGAGAGGCTGACGTGATACCTGCGAGAGACATGCGGCTGTTAGACACGCAGGTAACGGCTTCGTCAGAAACGGCAGCGCTCAGACACGCGTGCTGCTGCTGCTATTTTTACCTTTTTCTTGCTAATATGCCGCTTACCTACAGATCTGTAAGTTTGTATTAATACTGGAGACCTTTTTGCTGTGTGTTAGAAAAGGCAGAGGGCCCGAGTAATTAATGAGCGGTCTGAGGCTCGCACAGGCTGTGTGGGAATAAATCCCAACGGCCAAACCAAACAGCTCCTTCATTTAGCCAATCACCACCTTCTCTCCACTTGGGATCAAAACATGATTAACAACATCAATAATCAACAACAGTACTAACAATCATACTGTCCCTCAGCCCAGAGACAAACGCCCGCAGTGTGAGTGCTCCTCGTTTGCTGCCGTAAAAGTAAAAAAGGCGAGCCTAAATCCCCACTGAGACTGGACATCACCAGTTGACTCTGAGGTCGTAGACCAAGAGCGTCCCTGAAGGGCCGCCTTGCTCAGCGATAACTTCTCAAACTACTCAAACTCCCTTGACTGCAATTACCCAACAACGCCCATTCCTAGGCACGGTTTTCCAAGTGACACCTGATTCACTGGTCCCTAAATGAGCTGCCTTCAAAAGGTGTGTTATCCCAGGTAGTGGGGCTCCATGTCCCAGCAATGAAATGCTCTCCAGGTGTCCCACAACACCCAGGCAAAATCGCTCCTCGTTTCTAAACACCCAGCTTGTGCTGCAAAATTTACGGCCCTGTAGCAGATGCCTCCAGATGGGGGCAGGACCAGCAGTTTAGGTCCCAGTTTCTTTTATCACACCAAGAAAGCCAGGGGGCAAAAGGGTGACAGGGTGACCTCCAGCATCCAATTTGCTGCCTCGGGGACTGGAACTGGCAGGGATGCCAGAGCTGTGGGGATACACTGAAGACAGATATCCCGAGAAAAGCTTCCGGCTTTCCTCTTTACTTAATTTACCTGGTTGCCATCCCCAGCCTCCACCCTGACACTGGTTCACTCAGGCAAAGAGATTAGTATTAGCAAAGGCAAGGGATTTCTTTAGATTACTTTTCCAATGCAGGTGAAACACTGCAGATTAAGAAGGCGAGGAGAGTTAATTGCTGTGCAGAGCGGAACAACGCTGCAGACATCCTCAGCCAGGTCACCTCGCTCTACAGGAAAGTGAACCTAGTTAATTCTTAGCTGCTTATTTTGTTATATCTGCTCCAGTACTGGGAGTGGACTAGTAACTGGGGTAATCACCTAGGAGATGAGAGACCTCAGCTCGAGGCTTTGATCTGCTCTAAACCTCCTGTATGACTTTCAACAAACCATTTAAAACTCAACACAGTTCAGATTTTTTTTAAAAGACTCCAGATCAGTGGCCTCTGGAGCTTATGCACCTTGAAAATGATAAACGTAGAGCTCCAAATCAGGCCTGGCCCCCAGAAGGTACAGGGATTGCATTATTTTATAACCTGTATTGTAAGGACAGAGGGAAGAACCGTAGCGTCACTTACAGAGAAGTAACACAAACGAAGGCAATAGAGGCTGTTAACAAAACCGAGAGCGGAAAGACAGTGACTGGAATGTGCAGACTCAACACCTACTCCCTATGGAAATCAACGACAAACCTCTTGTTGGCTTCAGCGAGGCGCCAGCTTGGGCTAAAACAACACTATGAACAGAGGAAGGAAAAACAGTGGGTCTGGAGCATGTGTGACTGAACCCAACCAAAACGCAGGGCAGAGACTCACCAGTCAAATTCTGCCTAAAGAATTTCAGCCAGTGCCTGGTCTCTGCTCAGCCCTGGGTACTGTACCTGTCCCAGTTAGACATCTGGCTCTGGTTGGCTTCCATCAGTAAAATATCATCAATCTCATCCTCAATCCGGAATGGATGCTGAGACACCGGTTCATCCTCGGGGCAGGAATAGGGACTCATGTAAGGATGCTGCAGACCCATCTCAGCCGTTAATCGATCCATAGGGTTAAATGTGAGTATTTTCTCCAGAAAATCAATAGCTGTGAAGCAGAGAGAAACAAGCTCGCTCATTCCTCAAAAGCAATACCAGCTTCCTTTCCAGGACGGGCTGCAGGAATCTCCCGTCACAAACCCCCCTGAAGTAAGGAAGGAATTAAAGGTCACACCCCGTGTGCATCTAAAACGGGTGCTGCTGTCCTTGCTGCATCCATCTTACCCCCACAGGAGCTGTGTGCTTGCAGTGGAGCAATCCTGCAGCCCACAGGTGTCACAGCATCTGCCAAGGCAGGAGAAATGACACTAAGAGCGTCACACCTCCACAGGGCAGCAAGCACATGTCATCCCGGTGCTGTGATCCCGGGCCAGAACGCGAAGCTTGTACCCCAAAAAGACCTTTGGATGTTGATGTCATGCTCTCAGATCTGTCTGACAAGCACGCTGCGTTTCAGACAACACATTTCACATCTTTATGGGCAGCTGAAGCAGGAACAGACTTAAAGTGCAATTTTTAAAAGTCTTCAGCATGACCCATGCTATGAAATAATTTTTCCCATTAATATTTAAAGAATTCTGAGTGCCTAAAATTATTTTTAGAAGACTGTGGAGCATGAACTCTTTCTGTGATGACAAAGGAGGAAATCAAGCACAATTGAAGTGACTAGAATTAAATCTAAACCTACAGGGTTTGTTGTGATTTCTTTGATAAATCCTTTTACTGAGGTTATGTGAACGGACCAAATCCTGCCATCAAAGATGCCGCTTATTCGGTTGATCCTCGGTGCATGGAAGAGTCCCTGAGAGTTCAGATAACACGAAGAGGAATCTGAATTTCTTCAGGTACATCTTTTGCATTGTACCTTCAGAAATATCCCCATTTAAGGCTTAATTGTGTGAATGGGACCGTTTCTTTAGAGGCAGAACCACTCAGCAGAAAGGAAGGGCCATACCTATTGCCTCAGTGCTTAAACATTAACCAATCTCCAATTGTCTCCCACGGGATTATTTCATTGCTTGAACTAATTAAGTGGGAAGGAATCAATAGCTTCATAAGGTCACTGACTGCAGGCAAGAAGCACGGTGGAATGACATATTAGGAGTTATATATTCTGATATATTACAGGTCAGAGAGGCAGGAAAATGTCGATGAATTATGTAAGAGACGCAGGTGACCTTTCTTCCCACAATAACGACAGGGAATAAATCCACTCCTGCTTGCCGGAGGCTGACGCGGTCCCTGGGTAGCTCAGGCTGATGGGAATTGCACTGCCAAGCCCACATAGTGGACGTCACACGGTGAAGAGCTACGCCAGCAAACGTACGCCGGCCTTGGTCTTGACATCTTCCCAAGAGCAGGCAGGCGTGGTTTAAGCCTTGGAAGGAGTTCTGAACAGCCTTGGTCAACTCCGACTGCTGCTCCGCAAGCTCTCGCTGCCTAGAAAGCTGCTGCAGGCAGGTCCAAAAGCCCCTGGTTTACAGCCCCCTTGCAACAACACACTGCTGATGTGTTTAAGCTTTAGCCAAAGGAGGCAAGTGGCTGGAGTGGCACTCGAGCAGTGCATGGGGATGTCCAACAGCCCAACCGGGGTGATGTCCAAGTCTTGGAGCACTCGGACAACATTTGTGCCTGTAGCAACTATTTCATGGAGTTCAGATATTTGTGGAGCAAAAGCATTTATTTTATTGTCCAATACCATTGTGTTCATCCAAAAAACAGAGCAAAAAATGAACTTGTCTTGAACATAACCTCTGGGCTTAACCCTCACTTACAGCACCAGGAGAGCAAAGGGAAGGAGTAGCAAGGCTGACATGAAGGGGATGTGCCTTGGAAGTGTCCTGGAAGACTATTTCACTCCTATTTCGTTATGAGCTACCTGCAAGAAAGTTACTGCATGACGAGTGCTGTCCTGCAGTCCATGCCTTCCCTGGTGGGGCGCTGAGCGGGACCTGGGGGGACAGCGGTGGGCACACGTGAACTACAGGTGGGACTGCGCAGTGCACAACCCCAGACACCTCAATGCTGTTCACGGGTGTTCATGCACCGGGCCTTAGGGGACAATTCCTGTGACCCCCTGGGGAAATAGGACTGAAAACACGGCAGTGGGGGGAAGTCCGAGGAGAAGGACACCCCAGCGGGCACTTCCGTACCTTCACTGTCCACTTCGGGGAGCAGCTTGCGCAGCGGCTTTCTCAACTTCCCAGCGGCGTTTGGTTGGGCATCACTTTGAGCAGCTCCTGTTTGTCTTCCTCGTGGATAACAGGGATCGTCTCCAGAATAAGCTGCATCTGTTCCAGCTCGTGACCCCCTTAAACGGGCAGGAAACAGGCAGTGAGATGAGACCCAGAAATCAGATTGGGGTGGGGTGGTATTATTGGCCACCCTTCCGAAACGCGCCGCATCACCGCAGCGCTGCTTCTCCCACCAGGCCCCGCTGCGCTGGTGCTTCCAGCATTAGCCACCGCTCTTTGCTCCAAGGAAAATGTTCCTCACTACCTTCTTATGAACCAGGTGTGACGATATCCCCAGGTCACTTCCCTGCCCCTCTGTCCCCGTCCCACCTCCTCCTTGACAGCTCACCTTTTGGTGCTCCGCACACACAGAGCGACCGCCCAGGTGTGTCCGAGGCAGAGCTTCAGGCGAGATGCCCCCACTCTGCACACACGTGGGCAGTGCAGCCCCCAGAGCCCCCACGCTTCCAGCTCCCACTCGTGTTGGTGGGATTCCCTCCCGGGACATCTCATTTTACGGGTGAAGGAGTTAACCTAGACAACACCATCGAGACAATTAGACAACCCTCCCGGCACAGCACCCTGAGGCTGTCGGGCTGAGCAGAAACTGTACACAACTGAAATCACGGGGCGTGGGAAGTGTTATCCATTGCTGGGGTGCATCCTGAGTGATGGAAGAAGAGGGATATTAGCTGTAACAGCCTCAAAACTGACGACCCACTTTAAACAATACCACGGTTGGGCTCGTTTACATCCCCACATGCAGCATCCTGGCTCACGTGGCTGCAGCCAGGCAGGGCAGTGCCCGACGCCACCACCACACGTCCCTGCCACGTGCTGTGCTACGCCGAGAAGCAAAGCCCCTCTGTGCAGCGGGGACAGAAAGTGCCGCCATGACCCCAGTGATAACAAGATCATCAGCCCAGCTCCAGGAGCCCCAAAGACTCATTTTCAAATGAATGCAAGTGCCTGGTGCTGCTGGGCACGAAGTCAAGGCTCTGAGGGTATGATCCCCATTACTGCTAAGAGCAATCACAGATTTTTTTGATCCTTTTCCTTCAGGACATTTATCTGCACATCCCTAAGCCCCTGCTCAGCACTGGCTACCAGTCAGGGAGAGGAGAGAAGCGGCAGTGCCAACGGAGCAGAGCCAACCACCTCGTTAATGAACCTTAATCCCATTCTTTAGCACGCTATTGGATGTGACCAAGAGCTCCGTGGCGGATTTCCAGCTTCCTACGTGTGCGGAGAAGCAGCCTGGCAGAAATACTGAGTTACACTATTGATTTTCTGTCTGCCAGAAACACCGGTTATAAATATTCTGTCATTAGAGGCAGGACTATCCATTCAGACAGCGAGCTGGCCGGGGCGGACAACCCACCAGGGATTTTTGGGCTACGAAGCCTCTTTCTGTCCCCCCCTGATGGATTTCAGGCTGCTTCACTGGCAAGCAGCATCCGGCTGATCCACAGCAAGAGGAGTCAACCTCGTTCATGGCACAGCACCTCTGACCAGTCCGCAGGGAGGGTGGCGAGGCCAACTTGTAGGGGGTGGTGGAGGCCATTGCTGGCTTCACGCTCTCAGGCAACCCTCCCCTTTCAGAGGTCCCTGGCACCTCGCAGGGGCTACCCTTCCCAGCCTAGAGCTCCTCGTGGCTTGGCAGGAGGTTTCCAGACTAAACATAGAGCTGATGCAAGCACACGCCTTGGGCAAGGGGAAGTCTGAGTATCAAGGTTAGGAAAGGGTCTCCATCCGTCACAGCCTCATCACTCCAACAAAGTTTGGTTCGATGCAGCCGTGGCCGTTTTCACCCGAATGGCAGCGCTCCGAGCCAGGACACGGCAATGAGCTTAACCCCAAAGCAACGGTGACACTAGCACAGCTGGTCACCATCACAGCCCACATGCTCCAAACAAAGCCTCAGAAAAAGACAGAGCAACAGGAAAAGCACAAAAGACAGAGGGACACCCTCCCAACCCCCGCCCTCAGCAAATTAAATCCCTTTCATATAGAAAAACTAATTTGGGGTCATTTAGAGGTTCACAGCATGGCTCCGGGAGAAACTAGTGGTGACCACGAGGAAACAAACGCCTTGTCAGTCAGGCCGATTCCCAGACTGTGATCAAAATCACAGGGTGTTCAAAGTCACAAAGGCTTCGTGGCTGCTCTCCTCTCCGTGCGGCTCCAGGCTCTGCTCACTGAAGGCACCTGGCAGCCGAAACGCACTGTTTACTCACACAAAGCAGCTGCTCATGCAATGCTAGAAGCGTTGAATCATAGCTCTCAAGAACCTAATTCTCCACTGTTCTCCTGTTTATGTAATTCCTAGGGACCTTCTGGAAGCATTAATTCCTGAGAAGAAAAACACAAACTACAGGCAGAATAAACGCAACGTGCTACCGATACTGAGGAGAGAACTACGAGCTCTGTAACGTGCCCTGGAAAAGGGGACCCTTCCCTGGGCTTGCAACCAAGTCCTGGGTGAGTGCCCAAGCCCTGCTAGCAACTCCTCTGGAAGCAAGCACCAATCCCATGGGAAAAGCCACCTCCTAGCTCTTGGTCAGGGGCATGGCCCTGCTGGTGGTCCCACAAAGATCTGCGAGGACCGGTGGCTTCTTTCCCTCTTTCTCCTGTTTTCTCTTGTTTCCACTGGCGACGCTTCCAGATACACCTCGGCAGCAGAGGGTGGAAAAGTCACTGGAGCTGGAGCTGTTATGGATGCTCCTCCCTGTTTTCCACGCTGCTTGTGGTGGGGAGCTCTCTACCGGCCCACGCAGCAGATTTTAGCTGCTGGAGATATGCTACCCCCCTGTGAGCTTTGGGTTGGCCAAATTTCTTGTGCCCCACCAGGGCACTGCCAAACCCGAAGCTGGTCCTGCCACCACAGCACCCAGAGAAGGGTCTGTGGGGAAGGCAGGAGGGCTGGGGTGTTCATTAACTTGTGTAGGGGAATGAAAGCAGCGAGTGACATCTATTCCTAATAACCGATCACCTTAATTTAACTGCGCTGCTTAAGCACCCCAGATAGACTACTGAGTTAATTATATTGACTTATGCTAAGCACCCAATTTAAATTGGGCTGCTGACGCATACTCAGAAAACAATTATCCAGTGTAAGGCAGTTACTGGAGGTTTGCAACTTTCTGGGAACTACACTGATGTTATTTCCCACGAGGTGTTTGCTGGTGACCCAGGACTCTTCCAAAAGTCTCGTCCTGCAGTGACAGGGGCTGCAGCTGGCTGAGGGCACACTCCTTCTCCCAGGAGAAGAGGAGAAATGCAAAAGCAAAGATAAGCCCATGCTGTCATGGAAGTGTTTGCTGGTTTTAGCTGTTCTGAGTGACTGGGTTTTTATTGCCCTCCTCTTCGGACACCAGCAGATGAACGATGGTACATGGTATGGGACACCACGGGCACCCTGCCCCACTGCCCAGCTCCCACGCCGGCTCTTCTTTACTTAGTGGTGTAGGAGGGGGCCAGGAAAACAGGGCACTGGGCCAAGACCTTCCTGAAACAACTCTACAGACTACTGTTAAAGCAACCTGAAATGAATATATATTTTGAGCTCTGGTTTTGATCCCCACCCATTAACTAAGTATCCTGCCATCATCTGGGGGTTTATTAAGGGATTGCACAGGGCTGGAAAGCAGAGATGCTCGCAGCACGTGTCCGGCTGAGCCCAGTCTGTCAGGTGCCAAATCCCATCTCCTGATCTCTAACCTGCTGTGGACTCTCATGAACCAACCTCCAAAGCAGGTTCCTGTACGGCCGCTCCGGGGCATCTCGCCCAGGGAACCAGGACAGGATTGACCTCACCTGCAGCCATGTGCCACACCAGCTTGTTCTCTAGATGCTCTTTCTGAGCAGCACTGGAAACATCCCCACCTGCACTGGGGTTTGTTTCTGCTGCTCTGCTTCACCCGGGGCTAGTTCTGGTCCAGTGCCTGGACTGGCAGCGCCTTAGCTTTGTCCTGGAAGGGCATTGTCCAGTTTGCTTCCACCCAAAAAGCTCGGAGACTCCTCCATGGTGCAAATGATGGCTCGACAAGGGGAGGTGGCTGGCAGAGCTGCCTCGGGAGCTCACTCACGTGCAGCGTCTGCTGGCAAGGCCAGAAAATGCCCTGTGCCTGCAGGGACAAGTGTCACGTGGAGATGTCCCAGCTCCTAGAATATACTCCAGGGAGGCAGCCGGAGCAGCCAGGTCTGGTGCATAATTTTCAGAGCTGAAGTCCCTGGATTTGGAAATTCTGGGGAGGGAAGACTGAGGACAAGAGGAAGGAGAGGGAGGCAATTTTTATGAACTCTTCCGAATGCTACCGACGGCTTAATTTTCATCTTTCACAAAAGAAATACAGAAGCTGCAAGCAGGAGCGGGGAGGGAGCGACGGAACAGCTGCCATCAGGCACTGGCTGCGGATCTCTGCAGTGAGCTGAAATATTTGTGAAGAAAAAAGTCCTCCTCCATTATTAATGGGTCTAATTATTTATTTACACAACCCTGCAAACAGCTTCTCATGGAATGCGTTAAACCCTGTCACTCAAAACACCAGTGGGCGATGGCAGAGACAGCCAAGGAGAAGCATCGCTGCAGGCCTTGGGCAGGAAAGCAGCTTCTTCAACAGCAGAACAGCAGCTGCTTCATCCCGGAACAAATGACCCCGCATCCCCGCTTGGGAAGCACAGCTCTGCGCCCCACAGTAGCATTGTTGGAACTGAATTAAATAAAGATTTGTTTCTCAAGAACATCGAAGTTGAGCTTCAAATACTGCACTGGTAATTGCACACCCCTTGCTGGTGCTGTTCGTCTCCTCTTCCTCGCACTGCCTCGTCTTTACACCTCCCACCACCTGCTTACAGGAAAGCCCCCAAAAATGGCTGAAAATGGGTAGTGGCATTCAAACGTTTTCCCTCAAAGAAAAGAAATACCTTAAAGACACCAATTACAATTAAAATCCATGGCACAGAGCACAAACCTCTTGGGATGAGGCTACATTATCTCACGTCCTTATGATATATTTTTAGCATCCTTCCTCTTGAGAACCTCCTATTTTCTGTCGGAAACCCAGAAAAAGGTTTTGTTGTTTCATCAGAACGATTCCTCGTTTGGGGGTTCGCTTTTGGCAGCAGACCGTCCCTGCCCAGCACGGCTCAGCACAGAGGCACTGTCGACCCCGGCCAGCCTCCGGCACCCCCACTGGCCCTGGGTACCATCACACCCATGCCACCACGTGTCCTTCCCACGCAAGCACAAGAAGGCTGTGTGAACTTCAGGGCGGTAACTCTTCTCTGTCCCCAAGGGCCTGCCCGTATCAGGGAGGTGTGCACCAAGGGACCCCCTCCTAGCAGAGGTTGTGCAAGGGAAGTTTGTTCTGTAGACAGCCCTCATATCTAACAGCCAACCGTAGGATCCCTGTAGCAATGCTACTAGCATTGCCTTGGTGCCAAGGAGACGGGAATTCCCTCTGCCCTGTAAAAAACCTTTGAAAGCAGGGAAGGAAGGAAGAAGAAAAAAAATTAATCAGCAGCATCCAGAAACCTACCAGCGAAGAGCATCCTTCCCGTCAGCATCTCGGCCAGGATGCAGCCGGCTGCCCACATGTCGATGGCTTTCGTGTAGTTGTTTGGCGAGAGGAGGAGGCGTGGGGAGCGATACCATTTTGTTACTAAGCCTTCAGAAAGGTAACCCTGAAAAAGCAGAGACAGGGACATCAGCAACCTCGCAAGGGAGCTCCTCCGCTCCTCCCGGGCCAGCCCGCGCTGCCTGCCGCAGCCGCACCGTGGGATCCTGCAAGGAAAGCTGCCCATCGCCCCTGCGCTGCACCTACGGCAGGCTGGCGTTGTGTATCCTGCAGGAAGCAAAGAGCTGAGACATGCACCACTGGAAACAGAGAGGCTTCGGTGCCCCAGGAGGCAAAGCACCTGCTGCTCCCCAGAAACTTATTTGCTGTTTGACACCCTGGTACTGAAGCATCTTCTGCAAAGGACAGATGGCTTTAACAGCACCGATTTGCAGATAACACCTGCAGAAGTTGTTCCAGGTTACTGTGAGAGGACTTAGATGTATTATATAAATCCCAATTCCACCACCTGAGACATTTTGGAAGCTAAGCACATTATTGAAGTACTTTGCTGAGTCCCAGCTGTCATCCAGCAGTGTGTGCAGGAAGCCTTTCCCAGCTCAGCACCCGAAGCACAGTGTTAGATTTCCAAAGGCTACCAGTCCGCAATCCTTTGACGATTCCATCTCTAGTTACTCCTGAATCTACAGTCCCCCCGTAGCTACCCAAACTGCTGGTAACAGCAAGCTACGCACCACTGAATTCCCACGGATCCAACTCCCAGCTCTGACACTGAAAATGAAATTTTGAAGGGCAGGAGCTACCAAGGGAGCCCACGCAAGAGCAGCTGCCCACAGCTCAGCCCAGCGAGGTGGCACGGGGAGCTCGCGGGGCTCCGGAGCGGGCAGTGCCCAGGGGATGCGCTCAGCAGGATACGGCCTCGCACAGAAGCCAGGTGACTTCACCCTGCCTGCATCCTCGGGAGGCTGCTGCAGCCAAACCCACGTCGTCTGGGGGCGTTGTGCAGATGAGCCCCCACAGCCTCTCACAGGGCTGAGATGTTCTCCTCTTTATTATGAGATCCCACAAGAGGATGGGCAGAAAAACAGATTTATGGAGGAAAATCACTACCAGGAAAGTCTCCTGGACCTGTCTTAAGGCATCGCCAAGCAGGCAATGCAGCACCACAAGGGCTCCTAGCCATGACTCCTGAAAATACGACGCCATGGGATAAGTGGGAAAGCCTTTTTGGGGATTAGCTAGCTGGTTAAGAGCAAGGAAACCCTGCTCTTTCCGCACGGCGCCTCAGTCCTGCCTAACACATCACCACCTTCCCTTGCCATCCAGCTGCTGGGGCCCCAGCATCACCCCTGGCAGCCGGGTGGCACGGGGCAGGCCGTCTTCCTCCCTCCTACTTTGCTTACAGTGAGGATGGTCAGCTGGGATGCTGGACCTGGTTTTAAAGCAGATGCCCTCAGCAGCACCCCACAGGACAAAGACCAAGCGCCGTCGTCTCTTTGGACCACAGCCCTCCCGTTCCTGAACTCACCCGGGAGATTCAACACAAGTGCCAAGCGCTCAGCGGCTCCCGCTGAAATCAAGGGGATGTGTTCAACCCTGCAAATAACGCCGGCATTGTAAGGGACGTCCCAGCACCTCCGGCTTCGCCCGCCGGCCAAGCTTCGGATGCACGGGTGCCATGTCGGGGTTGGACACCAACGGTTATTTCATCAGGATAATGTTGGAATATTCGTAAGAGGTATTTCTGTACCAAATATACCATTAACTGAACGAGGGAGGTTGAAACACAGTAGATAAGACAAAGTAAAATGAAATAGTAAAGTCGAATTGCATTTAAATGCCACGAAGCACTGGGAGGGTGTCAAAACGCAGCGACAGCGTGAGTGCAGATCACATAAAAACCAGCTAAAAGCTCCATTCTAACTGACAGAGTTTCATCAACTGTTTTCCGTTGCACTGTAACTCTGGATGCAGTTGTAACACCTACGGCGTAACATCCCTGCAGAGGCTGTGTAACACCTCCCGGCATGTTACAGGATACACCTCTCGGCCTAGAGGCGAGCAGTGCACCATCACGAACTTCAATGCCCGTTTTGGTGCCCGCTTCCAAACGCACAAGTCGACAAGCTTTTAATCGTAAAGGGTTTGCTTTTGAAAGAACATTTTAACTTCGGTTTTCTTAAGATCAGCTGTAATGGAGACTGATCAGCTGAGAAGTTTCATGCTTCTGTTCATGCTGCTGAATCAGAACCGACACGGAAGTCCCCAGGCGCTATCCGATCAGGCTGCCGCTTTTCGGCAACTGCAATTACTTCTCACAAAAGCAACGCGGGTATTTATTGGAAAAATCCTAAGAAAATGAACTTGGGAGATAGTGATCCAGGGCAATTCCTGGCTGGAGTGATTTCCTCCCTTTCCCAGCAAAGGAATGCCTCTCTCCGTACAGACTTAATGCTCAGTTCACATGTTCCTCCTTGCCGACAGCCAGATGGATTTGAGTTCTCGGGGGTGTGTGCACTGTGCAAAATTTATGAGCAATATACTGCAAATATCTGTATGTTGCCACAAGCCAAACCTTCTATTCCACAGGCATTTCTTAGGTATTGGAGAAAATTCCCTGAAAAAACTCACCAAATATTTAGGATACGCCTTGAACCCTAACCCTGCTGTGTGAGGTTACGGGTGGTAATTAATTACCCACGCTAATCATTGTACTTCCCTCTCCTGTTACCCATCGCCGGGTATTTGACTGTGGACTCTCTGCTCTGATCTGCCGCATAACCCAGACCGCTGGGTCACCCACCAGCAAGCCCAGGAAGGACCCATGGATAGGAGCAACCCGCAGCTTCTCTCCACCCCACCGACTCTTGCATCACACAGCTGGACCTCAGCTTGCTTCCCATGGCATTCCACTGCTGGGCTCTGGGTTTTCCCTCCTCTTCCTCAGTGGGAAAATGCTGATGGGAGATTTGAAAGTCAAGCCAACGTGGCTTCACCAAGGGCAGATGGTGACTGACAAATATGGTGCCTTCTACGATGGGGTTACGGTGTTGGTGGGTAAGGGAAGAGCAATGGATGTCATCCACCTGGGCTTGAGCAAAGCCTTTGACACCATCCTGCA